ATGGCAGCTTCTCAAAAGAGGAAGGAAGGAGCAAGAAACGCAATTTTTGTTTTGAAGATGATTAATGCGGTTGAATAAAAGTATTTGGCTGGAAGGGATCTTCCAATCATTACGACAGTGCTCTATGAACCCTAGAGCATGAGAGCTTCTGAAAAGTGTTTTTGAAAAAAAAGAGTACATTTCTTCATTTGAAAAGAATCGATGTGGTAATCGGGTATCCGGCTAGATACGACAGTACTTCACGAGCCCGTGGAGCAGGGGTTTTTTCGAAAGGTGTTTTCTAGAAAGGAGCTCAAGAATGTTTAGAAAAAAGGAGTGTCAGAATCAAATTCTCATTCTATAACCTCTGTTATCGGAGAGTGTACCTGGTGTTATTCAAGTTCTTTCGAGAGGTTTGTTCAAGTTCAGCGGTATGTTGCCAAATCATATTCCGGAAGTTTGAGATGCTTATAATGTCTCACTAGCATTACCAAAGTCACAAAGATAAGTAAATCTGGAGGTTAAACAAAGAATTTGGGGCCAGTTCGGCTGCGCACGTTAACGCGTGCAAGACATCCCCTAGTATTATGACTTGGTTAGTGAGATCAGTACAATATCAATGGACTTCCTATTTCGTAATATGTCACTGGACCATGTAGACATGCGCCCACGTGATTGCCACAATCCTCATCGTGCCTACGTGACTTTCAGATGGACGAACGAACCGACATACAAACAGATACACAAAGTTACCACTTTATACAGAGATGCACGCGTAGCGTGACGCTACGCGTGCATTATATGTCGACGACCGCTTGTCTACGAAAGAGTCATTCTGCGGAATGTTGGATTATCAGGATAAGATAGTTCACTCTAGATTTGAACGCTGAACTGCTGAGAGGATCACGCTCGATATATTTCATTTGAGCAGAATTGAGGTATTAGTGGTTGACCATAGCCCGTCCACCTCAGTGTAGACCCTTCCCACTATAAAAACTTGACCATCCGTCTTTTAACTGCTCCTAACCATTCACATTCTAGAGAGTTTTCCAAGAGATGAATTTTTTGTCCTAGCCCCGCTTCCCTGTGCCAGTCCCGCCCACTTCGAGGATTCGACCACATTTGTTCCATTACCTCTAACCACTTTTTTCCGCATTCTGAAACCTTTCCGAACGAAGTTACATTCATTTTTGAAAAGTAGCTTTCACCTCAACGCACTCTCCGCCCATTGCGGGCGGGCCTCCGCCCACGTCATTCATGCTGGAGACACCTTCGACAATGCTTCCCCTACACCAACTTTTACCTGCACTGTTGGCTTTCTCCAAACCGAGTTATAAATGTTTTCATAAAGCGTTGCATTTTTGGAGAACATCCCGCCCATCGGGGTGGGTTTCCCTAGTTTGATCTAACTTACCAATGCACACCTCTAGCCACCTTTACGCCCCAGTTTTGAAGCCGTCTTGCGAATGAATTTGAAATCATGGTCCTCAGTACAGCTCATTTCGATGCACGCCACGCCCACTGTGGGATGTGCTCTGCCAAGGTGATGTGTGCTTTATACTTCTCGGGAAATGGCCCACCCATCCCACGCTTGAACCTGAGCTAAGGGATTTCGTGACGGACATACATAACGACAGACGACAGACGAAGCGCTTTATAGCAAGTAGGATGGTAGTCGAAGGTCCAACTTGGCTGATTTGTTGTACCTTCATGACTTTCAGTCTCTGGTTCCTAGTTGCTCATGACAATCACAATATTACAGTATGCGACTTGTGAGCTGTCCTTGTTGAATGACAGGTTGGCTGAGTAGCATGCGCCATACCACTCGATTTTTGTTTGCAATAATGTAAATGTTCGGAAGGGTACTGAACCTATTAAATGACTTACACAGAAACAGCCGGTAATCAGCATTAGAACCCTGTTTCTGAAAAGTTGCTTTTTCGCTAGTAAAGTGCTCTTGAAGACTTGTGCGTATCACTGAAATGCACACGCTGCCGCGCGTTCCTAATCAGGCGATATATAAGTATAGTGGTCCGACACCTGCCAGTGATTAATGGCTAGCTTGTTGTAAAGTATTTGATCCTATATTCAGCCCAAAAGAAACCCAGAAATGAGGGGTAGCACTCTTTGTTCGTTTTTTTGTGGCGCTCGAATACTGCTGGCGACCAACAATAATAAATTTATGTTGAAGGAGTGTGTGAGATCATCTGGGCTCACAGCGCCCTAATGCAAAAAAGATCTGTTATTCCTTCGACCTGAAAGTGTTACTATGGGCTTGCAGCTCTGGACTAATTGCCTGAAATAAATATAGAAGGAAGTCTATATAACGGCTAGGTTCAACGATTACACAGTAACGGCTGAATTCATTCTTCTTCTCCTTCATTATAGAATAGATCCTGCACAGCAGGTATGTATGTAAGGTCGTGGTGCATTTGTTTGGGCACCGATTACTTGTCAGTGTTTCTTAATTACAGAGATAGTAGTTCGACGTAAATATTGCCTCATTCTCTACTAGTATTACCACCGTAATATGTGTGAGAAATGGTGCAGGATCACGCTTGACTTTAACTTTTCAACTGAAAATATACGCAATTTTTGTAATACATAATACAACCCGTGAGAGCAGTAGAAGTAACAGCGAGACCTCGCTTTGTGCCAGCCCTTGTCAAGTGTCCAAGAAATCTTCATCTTTCTGTTTTTTTTTCTTTTTTTACTTTACTTTGCTTTCGGACGTGTGGGAAAATTACAAAATTTTCCGGGCTGGAAAGCTGCAGTAAGTGGGGGCATCTTGTCACTGCTTGACTCAACTAGTGAAATAACCTTGAAATGAGGTGTAAACCGTATCAAAAGGGGTACGTCGTTGCAAGGATTATGACAGGGTGAATTGCTTATGATACGGTTTACATGTTAAAGAGGGGACATTGGAGTATCAGGTTATGTTGTGGATGGACAAACGATGCCGATCCAAAGATTACATGAGGTCGCGCTACTACCCATTATGATTGAAAAGCTGACGTCTAGAGAGACACCTTTGGGTTACTTCCTTTTATTCCACTGTGAATGTGGACCTTGCCCTATGACCAATCTATCTGATACCGCATTTTTCTTTGACCTGTGTTCTCAGTTTATCCAATTCATTGTCCAAGTAATATATATCAGACGGATGGTCGGAAAGGGGTAGGTAGAATGTAAAGAAATAACGATCTAAAGGATTCGAATTTAATGTTTCATGAAGGGGACCGATTTATACGTCCATCTCGAACAAAATTCGTAAAATACATATTTCATTGAAAGGTTTATATCAGATTACACGTCACTTGAAGAAATTATCTTTGTTGGGCTCTCTACAGATCAGAGCTTACAGGTCGCTAGGTAGCGTAAGCGGTAATGGTGTTTAGTAGGCGTATGTGCACGAGACACACAGAATGGACTGGTCCTAGCTGCCAATAAAACGATTGGCTGTATAGTTGTCATACGCATCACACTTTGCATGGTGGACATAATCTTCTTCGCTTACATAGCACTGCGATCGACTCTATAGATGGATGAAATCTATGTCATGTTACTTCGTATAATGCTGAACATGCTGAAACCGCGACGTTGAGGTTGTTTGAAAAGCGTTGAACAACCGAAGAAGTCTATTCAAGTTATGTTAAGAAGATCTGCTCACAGGCGCAGCTTCTTTCTGAGCTTCTTTGACCAATGATGTTGCTTTGATTGATGAAACAAACGAAAAATCAAGTATCGCCTGATCTGCATAAGGTTATACGGTTGTGTGCACACGAACCATGTCGCAACTTTCATAGAGAGGAGTAGAACACTTAGGACAGTGCATCAGTTTCGAAGATCGTTCTATGAGAACAACTATACTGTAAGGATAGTTAATGGGTATGACCCTAGAAAACACACTTCATGTTTTCTATGACCCCCACTGCACTGCTGATATTCGAATACTCTATATTTTTGACTATCCAACTTTTCTTTAAGCCCACCGCTGACCAAGTCTGGGAAAGATGACCAGATGTGAATGTCTGCAATTGGTTTCAAATTCATTGAAGACCTCTTTCCTGCTTGTAGATCTATCAGCCTATAAACCATGACTGCAGGAGAAGCCACTACACCACGAATTTACAAAATGTAGGCTCAGGGTACAATAAAGATTTACTGAAGAATGAGCTCAAAAGAAGTTTCATTCAAATTCTGCATGATCGTTTCCTTGTACAAGAATGAATATCTCATGCGATCATGCATCCCAAGCTTGTTGAATCAGATGATTTCCATGTCAATAATCGGACTGCTCCATTGATAGGACCGGAATAGGAGGTGAGTAATAATTCGAATGCCTGAAATGAGCTTCAGTGACAGATGGGCAGATAGAAAATCACAAACACTTCAAGAGTAAAATCAAGCAGCTCTACATTTCCAAAGGAATTTAGAATTTTTTTTTGGCTGTTTAGGTTCCAGAAAAGTAGGAAACACTCACTCCTTCGCAAAATCTTTGGTTTTTCTCATACTGATCAGTCACAATTACACGATTACGAATACATGTATGAGCTTCGAAGCCTGAGGGTTACGGGAACAAAACTGACAAATGACCCTTCTATTGCAGAAGCACTTAGCCTAGTAATACCAGAACGTGAAGAATATTATGACTGACATTGATGTTTTCCTGAATCATGAAATGTCGTCCACCGCACACCTACACTTTGCCCATTATATTCAGGAGGAACTGACAGGTTTTAAAGTGGTAGAGCCGAGAGATACAGTTGGGGAATACAGTCCTATTAAGTGAAGTTTCGACATCACTTCTTACTATAATATTACCACATCCTTTTCACCACTAACCATAAGCTTGATTATGAAAATGCTATCACCACTATTCTTGAGAACATTGAGAAAAAGTAGTAAAAAGTGGGGAACTGAGCGGCAGTCGGCCTCCCACTGTAAAAAGGCAAATTATAGTGTTCGAAAACGACAGCAGCCCAATGTCAAGATTGATATAAAATGTTCAAAGTTCACTCTTACTGGTGAAGCGTGTAGAACGGAGATCTTTTGCCAATCACTCTGAAGGGCGTGTTGAACAGGCTAGATATACCCCCTGTCTGAAAAATAGTTGATTAGCTGTCATGGTATCCGACCACGGAGAAAAAATAGTAAAGTGTCAAACTGCTTTCGACAGAATATCAAGAAACGTGATGAAAACAACTTTTTTGTGGCTGTTACATAGGCCTAAGCGGGAGCCTATTCTTCATTCTGTCTTCATCTCATCAGTACCGCTTGCATAGGATACTGTTGATGCGAATGATTTTTGCCACTTGTGTCGCGAATATTCGGAGTCTATAAGACGAGAACTCACCATTGCAAGGTTTCGACTCGATACTTGAGCGATAAGGGCAATGTAGAAGAAAACAGCAAGAATCACAAAACTGCTTCGAAGCATACCTGAAAATAGGTTTGCTCTTCAGGCTACAGTGAGCGAAAAAAGGGGGAGCGACTTAGAAAAACATCTGCCTGGATAGGTGATTAGAGCCAACAGTACGACTTTCACTTAGATTTTCAAAAGAATATCTATTTTCTAACAATGACGTGCCCATAATTTTGAGCCATCCTTCATTCCTAGACGCAGAAGCCAATATAGCCTCACTCTTCAAACCCACAAAGTGGGTAATACACGTTACATTTCTTGCCGCTAAGCGAAGTGTACTCTGATTCCGCGTTTCTCCCGCGCGCCCAGTTTCGTTTTGTATTTATTACTCCTTGAAAAACTGTTGCATCTCCCTTAATAAAACAAACCATTGGAAATTCCCAGCGATCTTTAGGCTCCTCCTTAACACTCCTCTACACTTGGAGGCTTGAAAGCCAAGAATGATAGTATGATTTCGGAAAACAATCAAGGTGCGTGCATTATGCGTGTAGGTGTTAGCATCATCACCCAGGTTCGCATATAAAGTGTTATTAGTACGAGCAAGCTTCCCCACGTCATGTAATCATAACCTTCACCTTGCAATCACAACTTGTTAGAGAAGAGCTGAAGAACCCTCGAAAAACCATTCCCCCCATCTTTGACATCGAAAAAAGTGCACAAGGAGAAGCTGGGTACCGGGTATCGGGATCTGAGTCATCGATACCCTTAGTCAAAACTGTTCCAACCATTAACCTTAGTCAAGACTGTTCTAAAAATTCAAAAAAGCTCAACAGAACAAACCGGACTTTTGTTCCACGAATAACAACTTCTGTTTCAGATGATTCTGATGATAAATGGCGTTATATAGGGTGGCTGAAAATTATGGGCACATGAATGACAAGACAACTTAACTACTCATAGACAAAGGCATCACTACTTCTCATCATTACAGTCCGAGATCGAGGTTTTGAGTGGAGTGAAGTAATGTCGATGGAAGCAGGAGTTTTGAGTTATAAGCAAATATTCGATTATGCACCGGATCCATGTTCCTCCTACCTATTGTTCCCAGACACTATGCCTATTCATTGCGCGACCACAATCCCTTGAGTCTGGATTCTGAATGGTACGGCTCCTTGCAAGTAGCGAAAATAGTGATGTAGAGATACCGTGGCGGATGTTATATGGAAGGGGTATTTGGACGAGATTACAGTGCTTGCAAGACACAAAGAGCTGTCATCATCAGGCAAGAACTCTCTATCACCTAGCGCTCTCGCTATGGTTTATCACAACTTATTTGAACTTCCTACATGGTACCTTTGTGGGTGGCGCAGCCTCTGCAATACAGTTGAAATTCGTCCGCGCATTATCACGGGACAGTCTTTGAGCCTTTATAACGCCCTGTCTAGGCTGTTTTCCGACCTGATGGCGCCACAGGAGGTGGAGGGGACCACAGATTCATCCAAGCGGGATATATCATAAGCCATTTTCATCGTGAACTATGCCTTCAAACAAAGAGTAATGGTTTCCGAATTCGAACTTCTTGAGATCCTGCTTCAATCACAATATCATATACTGTTCTGCAAAACAAGGTCACTATAATAGAACCACTCCATTCAGTCGACGTTTTTCACAAATCGTCGTCGTCAAGGACCTGAGAGAAGTTCGAACTTCTCCATCTGTAGCTAAGCCGGAAAGAGCCGAAAAAAACACGAGCGACCAACCTATCGCAGTTCAACCACCTTACAGTTAGGCGTCCTGTTTGAATGAATAAACACCAGCGAATGAATGATAGACAGCGATCGCAAAGCACGGAATATAGGGTGATCTTGAAGTTCAAGAGAAGGAATGAACGGCACTAGTTCACTTGTGAGGGTACTTCAATTTCGTGTGATTCCGAAAGTCGGGCTTCTAAATAACGCCTCCTGCGGGGTTTTGTTGATGAGCATCCATTTCAGGTTCCCAACCACTGCTTGTTGACCTTACAAATATGTCTGCAAGCACATATTTGTAAGGTCAAAAGGGGAGGTCCCAGTGTGATACTGATGATGCCCTTTATGCGACATTCTTGCTCTTTTCTTCGTTCCTCTTTTTCACAGTATGATGTTTGGTCTTCAGTCTTGGGCTCTGTCTTTAGGCTCTCTCCTACTTCTTCTTCCAAGGCAATTTCTTCCGGTTTTGTTGACAGGAATTGCCTCAGAGTCCTGCTTTTATATTTTACGCCACACCCTTGGGTGTATTCAAATAAATAAACACTTCTTCTTTGCCTTCAGCGGATATCTTATCAAACATATATCATTTGAAGTAGATTGTTGCCTTCCTGACGAAATCACTGCGTTCTCAATGAACTGCCGTAGATTGTGATCAT